GAGAACTAATGAAATCTGCACGAATTTGAGTAAATTGAATGGATGGAAGGCTAGCTAGGAGGTTCTTCTCCACTCATGACACACTTGCAAACAAAACGATTTCCAGTTGCTTTTCAAAAAAAACTACAAATTCTCAACGCCCCAGATTAACTGTGAATTGCACTAATTAACCCTCAGATTTTCCTAATTTCATTGAATTGGATGATTGCATACAACAACCCAAAGCATTCCCCACAAGTTCCGTACATAAATTGCATAATAGAGATACAAGCAAGAATCATTAAGTTCTATGAAAAACATAAGCATTGACGAAACACTTGTAACTATGAATTGCATGAAACTTATGCCAAGAATTTACTTAACACAGTTGTGACGAGCAACCTTCAGTACTTGTGAATATAAGTTCATAACGATTGGGTGAAACTCCCTTATATCCTAGCATCAGATTTATGCATGAAAATTAAGCGTGCACTCTCAACCAACATACACAAATCAGTTTTAATTCAAATGGATAAGTAAATTGAATTCACAACTTATGAATCACAACTGAAAGTAATCAAATCATATTGCAAGCATGAACATGGTTTCGAATTCCCCCCTAGCTAAGGGGGGTTTAGTTCCTCATATTCACAAAGCAAAGATAAACAAATTTAGACATGAAAATAAAATAATGAAAACACCTAAAAATGCTCCAACAATCCAACTTGAATGGCAAGCACGTCCAAGGGTCATCCTTCTTCTCTTTGTTGCGGCACAAGTGTCTAGGATGTGTATGGATATATGAAAAGGTTAGGAATGTATTTAGGATTGGTGAATGTCTCGGCCAAGGGAAGGAAAATGTATTTGTGTTTGTGAAACATGGGATTTATGGATGTATGGATGGAATGGATCTCATGGCATGGAAAATGGAAGTGTATGGAGATGTGTTTGAATGTATGGATGAAATGGAATGGAGCTCACGGCAAGGGACTTGTGTTTGTGAATGAAGCTCTTTTTTTATGGATCAAGATTCTTCTTAGGAAGGGGAATGGTGGATGTATTTATAGGCTAAGGAGAGGACCACTTCAATTCCTTGCATGTGCAGTTTGTATGGTGTGTGATGTCCATGTTTCCCTTTACATTTGCACACACATGACCTCCATCATTTCAGCCACAAAACAAACACATTTTCTGCCATGTTTCTCCTTTACATTTACACACATGTTCTTCATCATTTCAGCCACAAATCAACCCATTTTCTGCCCATGTGTGTGTCTTTCCTTTGCCCATGTGTGTGTGTTTCCTTTGCATTTGCACACACATGTTCTTCATTATTTCAGCCAACAATCCATCTATTTTCTACCTATGCCAAGCCCTCCATGCCGTGCCTTTCTTGTTATGTGTGTGCTGTCCATGTAGAGTGTGGGTATGCCCTCCAACCTGTGCAGTTTGCATGTGTGTAGCTGTCCATGTTTCTCTTTTGCATGTGCCATGCCTTCTCTTTCTAGCTGTGCATTTCCACTTGCTCCAAAGCCAAATGAGTGTAATCATAACCCCATTTGCTACTGAGTGTTGATGATAAAGCAAAACACAAAACAAGTGCCTTTACTTTCTCATTTTATTAGCCAAATCTGCTTAGCCCTTTTATGAACCTTTCAGTGTTACAATGCCCATAACTTCTTCTAGAAAAATGATATTAACAATCCGTAAATTGTTCCAGAAAATAGACATTCGTAGCTTTTCAAGCATATAAGGCTCATTCTCTCATTAATTCTGAGCTGTTCGTAACATGCTTCCAAAGTCAGCTAATCTGCACAGGCAGTTTTGACGGATTTGTTACTTAATATCTCACTTGTGCTACTTTTCTTTTCTTTGCTTGATAAATCACACAAAACACAAAAACATAGTAAATAGCTCAAAAATATAAGGACCTAACTAAGAAAAGACAAGTGAATTTTATGTAAAATATATATAAATATGAGCTTATCACCTGACCCTGGGCTAGCACTAACACTGGGTGTAGCAATGATGGGCGAGCACTAACATTGGGTGCAGTAATGATGAGCAGACTACATAAATATAAGCATGCCATAACGATTCAATAATTCTAGTCAACATTATAAACTAACATGCGCATCCTGTAGTATTATTTTAGCATTTCACAACAGTACAACATTTCTTATAACATTATTTAATCATGGCATAATAGGCATAAATCAATTCAAAAGCATTTGTGGAAACTATAAAACTTTATATATCACATATATGAAAACAAATGCCCATTCACTGATACGTCGATGGATCGTAGCCTCATAGCCTCACTTGTCCTCATACGTCCTTGGGATAAGTCTCACCTATGTGGGAAATAACTAAACTAATTAATTAATAAGGGCATAAACAAAAAGGCTAGGAAAATGCCTTCATAGTTTGCTCAAATGGAGGGTTTAAATATACGAAAACATTCTACTCGACGATGAGGACCCGTACACGTTGACCACTCGTTGGCTGGTGGCCCAACGCGTCGCCAGGTCATGGCCACACGCGTAGGCCACTTGCCTGACATGTTTGACAGACTGGCATAGGAATATTTTGTCAGATTTGACGGCATATTCCGTTAACCCTAAAGGCGTCAGTTACCTTTAACGACGTCAGAATATTTCGTTAAGTCTAACATAATATTCTATCTTCTTTTCTGATAGACCTCCGCTGCCGGCATCGGCGGCGCCATCTAGTTCGTCAGAAACTGGAGAATTTGGCTGGATTCTGGAGAAATTTCAAACCTTCATATCTTTGTCATTTCTCAACCATCTTTGATAAACTTTATATGGAAATGAAGCTCGGGAAGAGGAGAATAAGCTTGTACCTTCCAAAAGTCCAAAAATGGATTAGAAATGGATCAAAATAGGCTCGAGACTCTTGGCCACTTTTGTTGTCTCAAACCCATGATTTCCTCGTTGGCTCCACTTCAAAACTAGGCTAGTGGCCTCGAGGAGTCACCTAGATGCTTCCAAACCTTTTAAAAATGTGCAACTCGAACGGAAAATTGTGGAGAAAATCACCCTCGAGTCAGAGCTTCCGAGTTGTTCCTAGTTGAACACTCAAAACTCGTCCATTTCCTGATCAGTTGGTACAGATGTGTTTGTGGGAACGAGAGGAACATGATGGTGGTGGTTGCAAGCTCAATTTGTGAAGTTTGGTGGTGGTGTATGTGTGCTGCAGAGAGGAGAGGGTCGGGATAGAGAGAGGATGAGAAGATAAAAAAAAAAAAGAGAGAGAGAGAGAGAGAGAAAGAAAGAGAGAGAGAGGGAGAGAGAAAGATAAAGCTTTCTGATTGGTTGAGGAGAAGAAAAAATCTGATTGGGTGAGAGAATTGAGGAGAGTGACTAATTGGTGGGTGAAAACAGGTCACGGGTCCAATTTTAAAGAGGGAAATGATCAGATTTCATGCAATAAAACTATAAGCAATCTATAAAATCTGACTCACCCCATCTAAAACAATGTTTCCAACACTAGATAATTTGCACATGCATGTACAATTCTACCCATTGTTATGGCACTTTAAATAAACTTAACTTTTTCGTTACAAGTCCGTTTCAGGTCTAACTTGCGCCCACTCATTCGTAACACCGAGTACTATTTAATTACAATAATGAGAAAAATCAAATAAGTACGTCCATGTCACTTTGCCAACAAGGGCATAAATGTCAACTTACACACTCGGGGATAGAATTACATAAAAATTAAGGACGGGTCGTCACAACCTACCCTTTTAAGAATATTTCATCCCCAAAATTTCAATACTACTGAAAATCATAATTAAAGAACAGGCATGGATAAAGATCTCGCATACACTCATCTGTCTCCCATGTAGCTTCCTCAACAAAGTGACTTCTCCATAAGACTTTCACCTAGCGAACGGTCTTGTTCTTGAGAACTTTGTCTTTCTAGTCATGAATCATCACTGGAACCTCATCATAAGTCAAATCTAGATTAATCTCTAACTGCTAAGAAGGAATCACATGTGACAGATCAGAGACATATCTTCGTAGCATGGACACGTGGAACACATTATGCACTCTCGAAAACTCTGGAGGTAGATCCAGTCAGTAAGCAACTTCACCAATTCGCTCAATAATATGGTATTGCCTGATGTAATGAAGGCTTAGCTTTAATTTCTTCCCAAAACGTACAATGCCTTTCCAGGGTGACAACTTTAAGAATAATCAATCTTCAACCTTATATACTCTGTTTGTCGAATGTCTATCAGCTATACTCTTTTGTCGATCCTGGGCTGCCTTCAGGTTACCCTTTTTTCACTTGGATGTTCTGTGTCATCTCATTTATGATTTTAGGGCCCACCAAAACTCTTTCACCGACTTCGGACCAACACAACAGTGTACGACATGGTTTCCCATAAAGCGCCTCAAATGGTGACATACTAATGCTGGAGTGAAAGTTGTTCTTGTAGGCGAATTCTATCAGAGGTAAGCACTCTGACTTGCATCTCTAAACTGCAGGACTTAAGATTTCAGCATGTCTTCTAACGTCTAAATAGTTCTCTCTGACTACCCATCGGTCCCGATAAAAAATAATACTAATTGGAACACCATGATACTTGACAATTTCAGAGACGAAAAGTCCAGCCAACCGTCTCAATGGGTAGTTCTCATGAACAAGTAGGAAGTATGCTGACTTGATAAGTTGATCAACAATCACCCAGATACCATCATAGCCATTTCATGTACGAGGTAGCTTGTACACAAAATCCATTGCGATATCTTCTCATTTCCACTGGGGTATCGGAAGTGGTTGTAGCAACCCGAATGGTTTCTTTCTTTCTGCCTTAACCTGTTGAAAGATCGGACAACGACTCACGTACTCCGTAAATTCTCTTTTCATTCTCGGCCCGTAGTAAAAAGGTCGAATAGTATGATACATTTTAGTAGTCCCGGGATGCATCGTATAAGCTGAGATATGCGCCTTATCGAGTATTTCTTTCTTCAGTTCTTCCATCTTCGATACATACATTTGATCGCCTTGCAGGAGCATACCATCAAGTCTTCGAATCCTTAGATCTCCTCTATTGTGGTTTAACATCACTTGCTTTAACTCCTGGGATTCGGAGTCATTCGTCTGAGCCTCGAGAACAGGATCCAATAAAACTGGTCTAACTTGAAAGTTGGCAAGTAGAGCTCCATGGTGACCTACTCCCAAAGTGGTTCCAGTAGATCTTAGGTTGGTTAGAAGAGGAACATGACATGTATAAAAAGCATTGAGTCGACCATAAGATTTCCTACTAAGAGCATCTGCTACAGTATTTGCATGACCATGGTGATACTCGATAGTGCATTCATAATCGCTGATCAATTCCATCCATCTACGCTACCAAAGATTAAGTTCTTTCTGAGTAAAGATATACTTGAGGCTTTTGTGGTCAGTGAAGATTCGACACGTTTCCCCATAATATAGTGTCACCAAATTTTCAAAGCGAAAATAATAGCTGCCAATTCAAGATCATGAGTAGGATAATTCATCTCATGGGGTTTTAATTATCGTGAAGCATACACAATCACCTTTCCATGCTGCATCAACACACAACCCAGACCATTCAAAGAAGCGTCATTATAGATCTCGAAATTCCCACTATCATCGAGAAGTGTGAAAATAGGTGCACAAGTGAGACAGTACTTCAATTATTGAAAACTCCGTTCATAGACATCACTCCATTCAAAATTAACTTTTTTCCTGGGCAACCTTGTTAGAGGCAGGGCTATGACTAAGAATTCTTTCACAAACCGTCGACAGTAGCCAACAAGACCAAGAAAACTCTGTACTTCAGTGACAGTCTAAGGTTGCTCCTAGTTTTCCACTACTGTTACTTTCTGGGGATCCATGAGAACACCCTGAACTAATATCACATGTCCCAAGAAAAACACATGATCCAGCCATAACTGGCACTTACTAAATTTGGCATATAGTTAATTCTCCCTTAGCTTCTTCAAAACCAAATGTAAATGTCTAGCATGGTCAGCCTCGCTCTTAGAATACACCAGAATGTCATCGATGAAAACAATTATGAACTTGTCGAAGTATGGATGAAATACCCGATTCATCAGGTCCATAAAAGCTGCTGAAGCATTAGTCAACCCGAATGGCATCATGAGAAACTCATAATGACCATATCGAGTTCATAAGGCTGTTTTTGGAACATCATCACTTCTGATCTTCAATTGATAATAGCCAGACCTTAGATCGATTTTTGAGAAAACACAAGCACCACGAAGCTGACAAAAAAGATCATCGATATGAGGCAACGAATAATGGTTTTTAATCATCACCTGATTCAACTGTTTGTAATCAATACATAGCATCAACGTCCTATCTTTCTTCCTTACAAACAAGACTGGAGCTCCCCAAGAGGAACTGCTTGGCTGAATAAAACCCTTATCAACAAGTTCTTACAACTGGGTTTTTAATTCCCTCAACTCCACAGGAACTATACGATAAGGAGTTAAAGAAATAGGGCCGGTACCTGGGATTAGGTCGATAGTAAACTCTACCTTACAATCCCGTGGTAGGCTAAGTAAATCGCAGGGAAAATCATCGTGAAAGTGTCTGACTACCCGAACGTTTTCCACATGAGCAAAAGTATCTTCAGTTACCATTACATGAGCCAAGTAGCCTTGACAACCCTTCCTTAACATCTGCTTCACCTTCATGGCAAAGATAACTCTATGTTTCAGACCGCCACATTCATCGATAAAAGTTACCATAGGCATGCCCGGTCGATGGAAGGTAACAATCTTTTGGTGACAATTCAACATGGCACGATTGTAATCCAACAAATCCATGCCCAAGATAACATCGAAATCAACGATGCTCAAGGGAACAAAATTAACTGGCATTATGACATCCTCGATAAGAATGGGACATCCTCGATACTCCTAACTAACATAACAAACTTCACCTCTAAGCATCGAGAACTCCGACATAACTGAGGGGAGTGGGGTGAGGTTGAATCTTTTAAGCAAATGTATAGGAAATGACAGAATATGTAGCACCCGAGTCAATTAAGATTCTAGCAAAATGGCCAAGAACATTCAACGTACCTATAATCAAGTCAGGGTTACCCTGAGCATCCTGCAAGGTAATGTGATTGACACAACCATATGCTTGTTATTGGCCTTCATGACCCCTGTTTCCCTGGTTGCCGCATCTATGATTGCCTCGACCCTGGTTGGTTTGATTAGTTTGCTTGGTCGAACTGCCACTGCTAGAGGCTCCATCAAGATTCTAGGACTGTCCTCCAGCGTACCATTGCGCTCCGCCTCCCTGATACGGCGTATAACCCTTAGTACTGTGGATAGTTTCCCTGGTAATAGGAAACCTCAGGTGGGTACTGATATACTCCTCCCTGGTATTGGGGTATATTACCCTAAATCTCCTGGAGAGGAACTGCAGGTGGTAGAGTAGGAGGATGAAGTTTCTGATTTTGAGGGCATTGATTAGCTATGTGCCCCATCTGAACACAAGTATAGCACTCATTATTTCCTCTTTACACTCACCAAAATGACGGTTATTGCATCTACGACATAGCGGAGCGTCAAAATTTCTAGGGTTCCTCTTATTCTGAAAGTGGAACTGCTTGTGGACTTACCGCCCCTTCGCATTGTATTGGAACTTGAACCACCGCTTAATGATCTAGAACTATTACCACTTCTCTTGAAATTATGAATCTTTCAAGTGCCAAAAGATGACTGCCCTATGTTATTATTCATATGAGCATTATTATTCGTCATCATCAAAAGCATTCTCGGAATCTTCAACACGAAGCAGAACCTCAAAGAATTCTTGGTAGGTAGAGCAGGGAGTAGAAGTTGCCAAATAACGCAGTCGCTTACTAGTCCCCTTCTTAAAATAACGGAGCATCTCTTTAGGATTCTCAGCGATCTCAGGACAATAACAAGATGAGTTAGTGAACTTTCGATGTTACTGTGACTGACATTTTACCTTGCTCCAGCTCTGTGAATTCTTCTTTCTTTCAATCCTTGTACTCCGTAGGTGTGAATCTAGCCTCAAATAGGCATCTGAAAACATCCCAATTCGTGGCATCTTGAGCAGACAACGAGCGTGACTCCTGAGCCCACCATGATCTATCTCCCAGACGGAAAAACCAAGTCGTTATCTCAATAAATCTCTCCTCTGGAAAATTCCCTTGTCACTGCATAACTAAAAAAGTCTTCTCAACATGGTCGATCCAAACCTCAGATTTCTCAAGTCCTTCATTGCCAAAGAAATTATTTATCTGAAGATGGGATACAATCTCTAAGGCGGTCCTCTAGGGAGGACGAAGTGTGGACTGAATGGCGTTGGCGATAGCCTCACTAGTTGCCCAAAATTGAGAAAATTAGTCTTAGAAGGGATAGGTGACGCTCTACAAGGTGGCATGATTTTGACATAAGAGATAAAAAATGATTAGAACCTATAGCACATACGAAGAATGCAGGACTACCAAAAATATGCTCTGATACCAAATTGACACACCCCGACCGGAGTCGAGGCATGCTAGCCATCACCTGAAGGTGACGTAACCAAAAAAGTAATTGATGTAAAAATGTGAATAAATTAAACCTAAGCTAGAACTTATTTAAACTAATAAAGTGAGTGCGCAGTCAAAACTAGTTAGTACTTAATACACAACCGGAGATAATTCCTACATTTATTATGGGTATGTCATAATCGCCTGCTAATCCTAGTACGCCACAGAGTAATTCAGCTATTTAGGACCTGGAGAGGCGAAAAACAGAAGGGTGAATGGGCAAAAATAAAGGTTTATAAAACACAGTTATTTTCCAAACATACTAACCTCTCGCTGTAAAACATGTATAGTTTCCAGATTATCATACTACGTATAAGTATGAAATCAAATGCAAATCAACAATAATTCTAAAAATATGTCAATCACAATATCTCAACAGTAGCATAATAAAATCAGATACTCATCGATCTATGCTAGCACACAAGTCGAAGTCGCCTAATGCAACCTATATGACTGAACTGATGCTCATCAATCTATGTTAGCTGATAAACTAATATTTATACAAGTTTTTATTACCTTAGTACTTGGATTATGTATAGTTTTCATCCCTTATTAGTAGTTTACTTGTTGTTCTCTTATTTTGTAGGATTAATTGCAAAGAAAGGGATTTTGAGGCAAATAAGAGAAGTTTTGAGAGCCTAAAAACGGTCCGTAAACATTCAAAGGAAGATCACATGATATCAATGCGATGCCTAAAACATGGAGGTGACAAATCTGGGATATGAGAGTTTCTGTCCAGCGATTTTGATGGGCTGCCATGTATTCATCCTGAGGAGTCTCATTGCATACCTATATGAATCAAAAGATATGGAAGTCTTCTTTCAAATGGAGTTAGAATCATGTCAATCCGATGTTCCTGCAGTGAATTATGATCATCTTAGTGAATTATGATCATCTTAGTGACTGCTGTTCGGATTTCCAGGTTCGGTTAACTTTGCATTTCAAGTGATTTGGGCTAAAATTTGCGCAGTTCACTTGAGTTAGAGATTAAAAGCCCAACAAGTAAATTAGTCTAACCAATGTGATAGAAAAATATTAGCTTCCCTTTTAGACCCAATAATGCACTTAATCTTCATCAAAATACAAGTGGAGGGTGGAGATGAAAAGCAAAAAAATAAACATATAAAAATAATTGCGGGGATTGGTCGGTTTGGTTCCAAGCAGCAGTGGCTGGGAATAAAAGGGAATAAAAGGGAAAACGGCTGGAGACTTTAACGGCGGCAGAAAAGAAAAAAAACGCTGAAGAAGGGGAGGAAGGCACGCAAGAGTTTAGGAGCTTGTGGAGCGCAAAAATCTCCTTCGATTCAAGGGTTTCTCATGCTTTTCTTATCTTTAATTATGTTTTCCATGACTATGTGTTTCTAAATTCTTTTGCTAAGGCTACAATGTAGCCATACAAAAATATTTTGTGTTTTTAGCTATTTGATTATCCAAGACAATATTTGTTATGTTGAATCTCAAATTTTGGGCTTAATTCGCTTGTTTTTTCGTTCTTGATGATTCTATGAATTAATAAGTGTTTTTTGCAGGTTCATAGGCATACACCCATGTTATGTTCTTGATCGAATCATGAATTTGAGATCACAATTTACTAGAAGCATACACCATGTTCTAGGTTTTGTGTGGTTGTTAAAAGTTTCCATTGTACTTAGGGAACTTCAAGGTGTGAAATCTAGGCATACACCATGCTAGGTTGCTTCTTAGAAGAATATAATTTGATGCATACATCATGATCGGATTATAGAGTTGGGAAACTTAATCATCAACATAGGAGTTGTTAATTGGATAGTTGATAGCTAAGAATCGGAATAGGATTGTTATTGGTGAAATTGGATGCCTTAGCCCTTAACGTCGTGTTTGTTCTTAAGTTTTATTGTTATTGGTTTATTTATTTTCTTAAACTTTTAGCAATTTTATCTTTTAGTATTAATCTTCACAACCAATATTTCCTTTAACTTTCTTGCTCAATAATATTTTCAATTTCATTTGTGCGTTAAGTGGTTAGTTATCTAATTAAATCACCATTCCTTGTGGGATTCACCTCCGTACTTGCACTTCTATACCATCTACGAACCGTGCACTTACGGATAAACGTGATTACAATTAATCTATTTTAGGTTGCTCTAATTTACGCATCACTAGCACACAAGTCGGAGTTGCCTAATGCAACTTGTACGACAAGACTGGGTGTAATCATAATATACGCTCTAGTGCTACAATCACGTGAAAATTGGCACTATTTGCAATCACATACGAGCCGGAGTTGCCTATTGCAACCTGTACGACAAGATGTTGGAGTTGCCTATTGCAACTTGTACAACATAACTGGCACCTACTTGGATCCAAGGTGAGCGTGCGGTGCAGATGTGAACATACACGTGAAAGACCGGCCCTGGGCGAGTACTAACACAGGGTGCAGCAATGATGAGTAGACTACATAAATATAAGCATGCCATAATGATTCAATAATTCTAGTCAACATAATAAACTTACCTGCGCATCCCGTAGTATTATTTTAGCATTTCACAACAATACAACATTTCTTATAACATTATTTAATCATGGCATAATAGGCATAAATCAATTCAAAAGCATTTGTGGAAACTATAAAACTTTATATATCATATATATGAAAACAAATTCCCACTCACTGATACGTCGATGGATCATAGCCTCCTAGCCTCACTTGTCCTCGTACATCCTCGAGATAAGTCTCACCTATGTGGGAAATAACTAAACTAATTAATTAATAAGGATATAAACAAAAAGGCTAGGAAAAAACCCCATAGTTTGCTCAACTGGAGGGTTTAAATATACGAAAACATTCTCCTGGATGACGCAGACCCGTACACGTCGACCACTCACCAACCGGTGGCCGGACGCATCGTCAGGTCACGGCCACATGCGTAGGCCACGCACTTGACACACGTTTGACTGACTGACTGAAGAATATTTTATCAGATCTGACGAAATATTTCGTTAACCCTAACAATGTTAGTTACCTTTAACGGCGTCAGAATATTCCGTTAAGTTTGATGGAATATTCTGTCTTCTTCTTCGGTGGACCTCCGCCGCTATCACTGCCGTCCGCCGCCGCCGCCGCTACCACGGTCTGGTTCGTTGGAAACTGAAGAATTTGGCTGGATTCTGAATAAATGAAGAAATTTCAAACCTTCATATCTTCTTCATTTTTCAACCATTTTTGACAAACTTTATATGGAAATGAAGCTCAGGAAGAGGAGAATAAGTTTGTACCTTCCAAAAGTCCAAAAATGGATGGGAAATGGATCAAAATGGACTATAGACTCTCGGCCTTACTTTTGTTGTCTGAAACCCGTGGTTTTCCTCGTCGGCTCCACTTCAAAACTAGGCTAGTGGCCTCGGGGAGTCGCCTAGATGCTTCCAAACCTTCTAAAAATGTGCAACTCGAATGGAAAATCGTGGAGAAAATCACCTCTGAGTCAGAGCTTCCAAGTTGAACACTCAAAACTCGTCCATTTTGTGATCGGTTGATAGGGATGTGTTCGTGGGAACGAGAGGAACACGATGGTGGTGGTTGCAAAGCTCAATCTGTGAAGTTTGGTGGTGGTGTATGTGTGTTGCTGAGAGGAGAGGGTCTAGGGATAGAGAGGGAAGGAGAAGATGAGAGAGAGAGAGAGAGAGAGAGAGAGAGAGAGCTTTCTGATTGGTTAAGGAGAAGAAAAAAAAATCTAATTTGGTGAGAGAATTGAGGAGAGTGATTGATTGGTGGGTGAAAACAGGTCACGGGTCCAATTTTAAAGAGGGAAGGGATCATATTTCATGCAATATAAAACTACAAGAAATCTATAAAATCTGACTCACCCTATCTAAAACAATGTTTCCAACATTGGATAATTTGCACACGCATGTACAATTCTACCCATTGTTAACGCACTTTAAATAAATGTAACTTTTTTGTTACAAGTCCGTTTTGGGTCTAACTCGCACTTACGTGCTTGAAACAACAACTACTATTTAATTACGATAACGAGAAAAATAATTAAAAGCCAAATAAGTACGTCCACGTCACTTTGCCAACAAAGGCATAAATGTCAACTTACATACTCAGGAATAGAAAAATTAGGGACGAGTCGTCACATTATGTGAGACCTATATAAATTCTTGTAATGTATTATCTTACAAATTTGACAAATTTGACAAATTATTAATTTTACTCTTTATTCCCAAATCGAAACCGAACATAAAAATTATTAACCGAAATTATTAATTTAACGGGTATAAAATTACCTAACTTCTACTGTATTCTAACTCATATTCAAAGCAAATAAATATTCTAGTGACAACAACTGATAAGGTACATTAGGGATCACTAAGCATTGTGAAAGGATTCATAAAATCCCAAATAATTTGTTATTTGCTACCTACCTGTAGCACATAGGGTGTGCCGTAGGACTTAGGGCCGACACAACATTCTCATACAATCAATCATTTTAATACTCTGTTTAGTTAGAAACCACACTACTAGACTTGACAGATTCATAAATATTATCAAGACCAGTAAATTATTGAAGCACATGACGAGAGTAATAAGAGGAGGCAGAGTTCTGTGTGTCTAAGATGAAGGGTGTCGGTAGCACAAGGGCCACCAGACGTCTAAGAACAAGACACACCTCGCGTGCAATTCCAAACTAAATAATGGAGCTATTACATTTCCTATAGGTTAACAGAATTATATATAACTTGACAAAACACGGTACGGTTATTTTTTCCCCAGTTCGAAACAACAGCGACTTGTTTTACAGTCCATCCACGCCAATCAGTCCATTCACTTGTAAGGAAATGCATCACGAGCGAATCCCTGTCATCACCTCTATAACTTGAATACTCGCCCTTTGTTTATCACTTTTCGGAGAGCAACCTTTGCTTCCTCCAGTGTCTCGACAGAATGGCCTTCGTCAAATGATATCCTCTGTACGTTGAACTGCAAACGGAGTGGAAGGTCATTTTTAATCATAAGAAACCGGGTAATGTTAGAGATTTAGAAGGTTGTTACTTTAGAAACCTACCTGTGCACCTTGGCGGACCCGAATATCAGTTCCTTTGCTGTCTATGGATATGAGAGCGGCATCATCCACCTCAGACTCGGCGGATAAAAGCTCTTTTAGGGGCTTCGAAAACATTGCATTGAGTTCCTAGATGAATAGAAAATTAAAACTGAGTAGGCCTAACTGGCAAAGAGGAGTGATATGCAAATCTGCAAAATTTACTTGGGGAAAACAACAATCAACTTAAAGGCCCCATACAAGCAGATAAAGACGAGCATGCTAAAAGTTGACCAAAATCTATCGACAGCGTAATCAAAGCACGAAGGAAATATCCCTTGCAGCACTATGCATACGTGTGGTTAAGATTATTGAAAATTCAAAAGTTCCTATTAGCCTTTACATAATTTTCTCTCAAATAAAAAAAAAATTGAGAGTGTTTACCTTCAGGTTCTGCTCCCCTCCATTAACTGCAATCCTATCAGGCTGCAGGGCCTCGTATTCTTTGACGTCGACCCAAGCAACAGTGCCAAAGCCACCAATGAAATATATGTCGCTGCAAGAAATCAAAAGAAAGTTTCAGCATGCCAAGAAATGAATTTAGTACCACTTTTGATCACCTCAGAAAACATGGAAATATTTGGCCAAGGAGTTTTACTTCTACATGGTCAAGGCATCACTTAATTCATCGTTAGGTACAAATTCCCACTCCAACACGCATTATTATTGTGCCCTAAAAGTTCCATTCTGTAAGAACAAGCAAAATAGAAGGGCAGCATCCTGCACCGTGGATTCTACCTAATGATTCATGGTCAAAACTTTACCACGTAATAAGAAATACAACTAGCCCGCCCCAGTTGTAAATGAACAATGCTTTTAAGAGGACATTGACACAGGTATACTTCAGGAGTCCGTAAAAAGTTCCCTGTCCCAAATTGGTTTTGATAATTTATGGTTCAGAAGAGCCTAGCAGTCAAAAACCAATTACAGACACAATGCGCAGAAAACAACATGAAACACAAGAAATTTTTTAGTCATGGAATCAACATAAACAACACTAATTACTCAAACCCAAACAATTCACCAACCTTATGTTCTGCATCCTGAAGTAGTAGAAGTTTCCCCATTGTTGAGAAGGCCCCTGTTGATGCTTTGCTATGTATTGCTTATGAGCCCATTCCTACAATCACAGCCAAATGCAATGAACCTACTGCTAATTGTCTAGTAATACATTGTCTGTCCTCTATCACACATATTTAACTTTTAAGCTAAACATGTAGCAGCAACAGCTGCGAGTTATAAATACGCTGACAACTCAAACTTTTCATGACCGGATTCTAAGGGCAAACTGCAAGTCAACTATAGAATTAATCCAAAAACGAAGAATTGACCCCAAAAATGAGCTTCAAGCACCTAATCTTTTCACTACTATCTGCTAAATCATTCATTTCACATTTTCACTTCTTACAGGTGAGAGCTTCTTGTTGCAGATCACCACTGTGGCTAGAGGAAGAAAAATAAACTTGTGCCCAGGTAACCAAATACGTCCTTGCCAGGGTATGGGTTAGAAAATCACCTGTTCATGCTGGAAGTGGGTAGACATCACCAAAAATGGTTACCCTAGCATTTGACAAGCCGCTCCATCCAGGAATCTACACGAGCTAACTTTTAACAATACCCAAATGGAGAACAATAGAGTAAATAAAGCCAAAAGAGAAGCAATCAAATCACTAACCTGCACAACAAGTGTGCATCTTGGATCAGCTAACAAATTCCGAGTATGGATAGCCAATGGTGAAAACGAAAATATAGGATCTGCATATCATCAACGAATAATAGATTGATGAGTCGGGGGTCCAAAATACAGATCAAAGAAAACAAAATGGTCCAATATAGAGGATGACAGTTCAAATTGTCAACCACCGTAAACAAAGACAAAATAGACTGCTAAACAGCCTCCATGCAACTGTTCAAGTTGTACAAATAAAAAGGGCTAATTATCACAAATGGTCCTTGATGTTTTGGAGATCCATAATTTTCGTCCTTTATATTTCACTTCAATCAATTTGGTCCTTCATGTTTGCTCCCACATATCAGTTTGGTCACTGCCATCCAAATCCGTTAAAAACTCCATTACGGTGCTGGCATGGCACACAGGACCCACAACTATACTTATTTGTAGCTATGTAGAATTTAGGAAAAAAATCAACTTAATAGCTCAAAGTTTTTAAAACCATAAAGAAAAACTTAAAAACCTCATCCACCAAAACTTAAAAACCTATTAAAACACACAACCCAAAACTCAAAAACCTCATCCGCCATCCCTGCCCCCCCAACTCTGGGTCTGGGTGCACAACCACTCCAACCCAGTTGCAACCCTTCAACATCCCTGCCCGTCAATGCCCTTTATCTCCAAATCTTGTTTCCTCAGCACAAACCAAACAGACACACATTAATGGTTTTCATAATGAACCCATGAAAGAATTGGTGGTCGAATCAAATGAGCTGAGGCACATCTCTGATTCTCCAGTCCAACTTCATCTTTCCTTTTTTGCTAGAGGAGGGGGGTTTGACTGGTTGAATGGGTTGGAGGAGGGGGGACGGTGATGGCCTCAGCAGAGAGGGGATGTGAACGGTTTATCATTTTCCTTTACCTATTTTTTTTCAGTTTTGAAATTAAAACATTTCTTAAAATTTAATTATTTGCGTAAATCCATGTGGCGTCATGTGATTGGTGTTGTGGGATAGCACACATGTGCCAATTCAGCACACAAACAGAACTTTAAACAAATTTGGATGGAAGGACCAAACTGATGTGTGGGAACAAACATGGAGGACCAATGAATCGAAACATAAAGGACGAAAATTATGATTTTCCACAACATTAAGGACCATTTGTGATAAAAACCCAATAAAAAAAAACATGGTGAAGAGGATTTTTAGAGACCACCTAGACTTAAACTTTATGTGCAAATTCTTTTTTATTGAAGGATGACAAAAAACTGATTAATAAAAATGTAAAAGTTCAATAACTTACGCCCTGATGAATCAGGTGCAAAATCAACTAGAGAACCAAATGGATATCCTTGTCGCCTGTGGTGCATGCGAGACATTATGGTGCACAAATGAGCAAATCTGGCCTTGAATGAGGAAGCAAGACGTATTTAGCAGCTTAAAAATAAATAATCAGCTAGCATATTAAATCCTCTTCAAGTGAAAAAAAAAAATATATATATATATTCATTCAGAATCAACAAAAATAACAAAAAGTGTCTCTACCTGCTCCATAAGATTGCGTACAGCTAAGGCGGGACGGGGTAAACCATGAGCTGAAGTTGCACTCTGTACCCCGCCAGAAATTGGAGTTCTAAAGAGCCCAGCTCTTGTTCCACCTCCTGATCCACTAGCAGAAGGGGATGTAAGAGACATATCTACCATTAATGCCTCATCCACATTCTTCTCACTACTTTCGAAGTGATTTAAATCGCCCTTCAGAACAAGAAAAACAGAAACAGACTATGATCAGATACAATTATAAAATCAGAGAACTATAAAACATATATGTACTGAAAAGAAGGGACCAACACTGCAAAACAAATGTGAGAGACCTAATTGTCAATTCTTAAAAAAAATTCAAGCGTTTATAATTCCACATTGAAGCTATATGTAATAGAACTACATGTCAAAAACCACCTTGTGCTGAAGAGGTCATTCCAAAGCAACATTTAGAGCTTGGTTCGCTGTTAAAAATCATTTAACCACAAAACAAAGGGTGGCAAGTTGGCAAGGGAGGCATTGCTCTATGGTGTCCCAAACTCACCTACTTTCTGAATGCAGTCTTAATAGCAGGCTATGGAGGCATACAATTGAAGGTTTAAAGTTGAATTTTCAGTGACATTCATTGTGAATTGGCTAAATGTGCATCGCAAAAAGTTTCTCTCTACTAAATCGTCTGCCTGTTTCGGACCAATCTGTTGTATGACCTATGGTTCGAAGAAACCAGACATTGTTCACATATTGCTCCAGCACCGGGGCATAGTTCTAGAATAGCCCTTGTCGGTGTCATTGCTGAGCAATGTTTTGGAATATCAAGGATTTAACTCACAATTTTAGCTATCTGTGATAGTTGCCAGATTCCTTTCTTGATAAAGATTGTTGATTTTTCAGCAAAACCAATATGTCGGTTCCAATACATGTCAAATTCTTCACTTTTTCTTAGATCACAAAAGTTTAAAAGCCCTACAAATCAAAAACTAAACCAATATCAACAACTTACACTCCAATTTCCACTTATTTGCACTTCCCACAACTACTTAACACAAAATACGATTTAATCAAAATTTTAAATTAATAAAAAAACATACACACTCACAAAATTGCTGAAAACTTCACAAATTAACACAAAGACAAACATATGCAGAGAAAGAAGCAAAAGCAAATACCTGAGAGAAAGAGAGAGTGTCTTCGGAAAGCAAGCCGAACCCATTATTCGGAGGCCTCAGCTCTTCACTTTCGCCGGACCCAGAGGCCTCCCCGGACAGGGCTCGAACCCGAAGCCCAGAAAAACGAGAACTTTGACTGACTTTTAGAAACCCACTTCGATTATTCGGCGTTCTGATTGAAGTAGGATTGTTCAGAACTGGGTGCGCCTCCGGAACGAAGGCAGAGCTTGCGAGGGCTTCCATGGAGAATGTACAGAGACAGAAAGAGGGTGGATTAAGTGTTTGGTTGGATGTACTGTAAACTGCGGAGGCGAAACTGAGTGACAGATTTTGGGGTTGGAGATGGTGATTGTCTTGGGTTTGTCTTACGTTGTTTGCCCCAAAATCTGTGGTTTTTTTTTTTTTTTTTGGATGTGGCATGCAATCGTGGTCCTAAACTATGAAGTGAGGATACTAGTCGGATTCTCTTTACGAGTTCTCGGGATGCTTTAATTATATCTGTTTATTGTATATTGTATAACAAATTTTTGTTAAGTACTATTTATATTCAATTTTAAATAAAAAAATTTACAATGATTTCTAACCGCACGACGTAGGATGAACGAATGTAATTAACTGAAAGAGCTTCACTAAATTTTATTTTAATTAAAAGCACTTAAAAAAATATTTAATTAAAAGGACACAAATTACCCACTAATTTAATTTTTAGGGTTAATCTTAGTTTACTATTCTGAAGTTTCTTGGTTTTTAATATTTGGTATATGAAGTTTTTTTATCCCAAAATGGTACCTGAAATCATAATTATAGGACACTTTCATACTTCTGTTAAGGTTGTTATTAGATCCAGCATTTTGATTGTACACAGGTTGTTGATGTAATGTAAATAGAATGTACATGCAAACCGAAATTCTTATTCTACCATGTTGGTTCAGCTATCTGTTTAGTTTTTGAATTATTTGGAAATACCTGTGTTGATTTGTGGCTTCGTGGGATTTACAAAAGTAAAATGTGCATTTTCTAGATTGATGTGATTGAGGATGTGATAGTGTTGTTGCTGCCTATTGAGTATGATTCATTGCTAGTTGTTGTTATCCAGATTTTGTGTATCTTTTTATGGAAATAATTCATAGCTGTTGTGGATTGCGGTCTCAAAACCCGCAACAGAGTGCGGGTAATTTTTCTAGCCTTATCCATTTCTGTTTTCTTGAATTTAAGGTGCTCATACTGTTTCCATTTTTCAATTTACGTCTCATTTTTGTCAGCTGAATTTGAATTTGGGAAACAGAGAGGCAAAAAAGGGTCTTCAATTTGTCAACAATGCCACGATGCAGAATTCTCTTGAGAGTTCTTCAGTTACTTTAGTGTAAAGGTTAAGGGACTGCAAAAAATGCATGCCAGTGAGAGGTAGGGATGGGCACGGTTTGGTTCGGTGCGGTTTTGAGTGAAACCAAAACCGAAACTGAATTTTTTTGTGGTTTTGAAGCCAAAACTGAAATAAAACCAAACCGTTTGGTTCGGTTCAGTGCGGTTTGAAACGGTTTCGGTTTGGTTTTTAAGAAAAAATGTACAATTTGCAATTTAACATATTAATAAGCATTTCCCAATAGCAATAAGAAAAAGACATTTGTTATGTAAACAATTAGCATGTTGCATGCAGTTGTAATGTTAAAACATGTTTGTGCAACAAAATGGTGTCCCTTACAATGTTTATCATAAAACAAGTTGAATAAATTTGAATTCATTAAACATGAGCAAAACTTTAATACTATAATATGTGATATCATGCTTCAAATGAGTGGACTTCATTAGATCATTGTTCTACTCTTGATAACAAGATTAGTCCACCCTTGTACATATATGTGTGTGTGATGGTATAAAATAACAAAGGTCCTTCAAGTTAATGAACATAAGAAAATGATGAATGATGATATTCTAGTGTGGTTGAGTCTCATACTAAGTGTATGGATTCTAACAAACAACCAATTAAAACATGAAATCTAATATAGACATTTAATTAAATGTTTATTAATATTTGCGGTGCGATTTGGTTTCGGTGCGATTTTCAAAAGCCAAAACCGAAACCAAACCGTTTTCTATATTGCGGTTTGGTTTCAAAATCGCAAAACCAAACCGTTCGGTGCGGTTCGATTTGGTTCGTGTTCAGTTTCGATTTTCGGTTCTAAGTGCCCACCCCTAGTGAGAGGTGTATTATTGACAGTGAGAGGTGATGGAAACTGGGTCAGGTGCATTTCAACCCGCCCACATAGTGGGCTTCATAAAGATAAGACATAAATTGAAACTTGATTGGCCCAAACTACTGGCCTTATTAGGGGTGGGTTCAAAAACCAGACTGAAAACTAGACTAAGGCAAAAAAAAATCGAACCGAAACTGTGAAACCAAATTGAACCGAATTGGGTTGGTTCGGTTTCAGTTTTTGAGGTTCGAAAACCAAACCGAACCTAACCGAACTGAATATATTTTAATTATATAAAAAAAAAATATTACACCCAAAAAGGTTCAAACCCATTCCCACTTGGTTGAGTATCTTCCACTTAAACCATCTTGATAGCAAGTTTTTTCTTACCAATACCATTATGAGTAGCATATTTAAAATAAGTTGGATCATAATTGTTTAATACGTTGTCAATTCCCATCTTTCATCCAATCCCCATCTTTTATCTTTCCCAATTCACATCTTTCATCTTTCCTTAACCCTAGCCGAAAAAACCATCTTTCCCAATTCCTATATCTCTCTCTCTCTCTCTAACTTCAACTCTCTCACACTCTCAGAGAGTACAGCAATGGCACCCATGAGTCTTCCTCTCTCTCTCTCTCTCTCTCTCTCTCTCTCTCTCTCTCTCTCTCTCTATTTAACTTCAACTCTCTCACACTCTAAGAGAGTACTGCAATGGCACCCATGAGTCTTCCTCTTGGATTCAAATTCTATCCAACGGATGAAGAGCTTGTTGCTTACTATCTAGATCGAAAAATCAATGGTCGCACCATTGAGCTAGATATTATCCAAAGGTCGACCTCTACAAATGTGAGCCACGGGAATTGCCTGGTATGTACTTGATTTTGTTTTGTTCGATCTGCAAGATGGAGGTAAAGGTTTAATTCTTGGCTTTCTGGGTGAACAGGAAAAAAGAATAAATTGTGGGTTTTATTTTATTTTTTATAATAACTGATGTTGCAGGTTTGTTAATTCATGTGTTCATTATAGGAATGCTTCATGGATTTGACTACAAGTTTGTTAATTTTAATAACTGATGTTACAGGTTGATTTCTCACTGAGAATGCTCAAGGTAGGGAAGCACGTTCTTCAAGCTTCAGATTTAAACAAAAAAAAAAAAAAAAGCCCGAACCGGGTCGAAACCCAACAGTAACTTCGGTTTGGTTTCCGATTTCGGCCAAAAACCGAACCGAACCCAACCCAACCCAACCCTAGGCCCTATAGTATGAATATTTTTTAACTCATATTTCATAGGGAGCAAAGGAGAAATTTTTTAGTGCGACGGAGACATGGGTGGTACACTATGTATTTTTATATAAGTGATGAAATTTTTTATTTTTTAAGTTATTTACTTTTATAACACACATATCTCACAATTTGTATAGTGACAAGTGATGTATCACTTCGTGTACCGGTCATACCGAAAAATCTATCGGGAGCAAAGATCATAATCTACTCCAAATTTATAAAAAGACGAGAAAATTAGTATAAATAGAGGTAAATGATGACGCTTTTGAAGTATCAATAACATCATCATTCTTCAAATACGAAAAGAAGTAAATATATAAGAAAATAACGAGAGTCGAACTTTTGCAATGCTCTAGCTTTAGGACTAGAAAACCAACATAAAAAAAATTGGTTTTACTCGAACGAGGGACGAAAACATAAGCAACTGTGTGCAAGTTTGATTCCAACGAGGTCATCATCCCCTGTATTTCTTATTAACACACCCAAAGAGTTTGATATCATCCGTGTGAAATTAATGGGTGCTCATCGTCGGGTCTGTTTTTTGGTCCCTTGAAAAAGCACCACGCCAAGAATATATTTTTAGTCTTTCAAAAAACTAGCATTTCAAAGTTTTCAGCCAATGACAAAACGTTCACTGTTACACCGACAAGCGGTGCTACGCAAATGTACGATCAAAGTGCATACGGTTAACAAGATTGTGATGACACTAACATCTCAACCAACAAAAAAGCCACATCTCAACTCTCTCTCTCTCTCTCTCTCTCTGTTCTTTTCCGAAGGCCTGAAAAAATATCTCCTTGTTTTCTTCAGAAACCAGTCTCCCCAACCGTGTTCCCACAGCTGCCTTTTTCATTCGTTTTGGTACAACTTGATCCCATGAACCCTTCACCAAACTCAACCTTTTTTTTCAAGTTCATGGATTCATTTTTCCTCTTCTCACGAGCACTAAAGCTACTTCCATCTCTAAGGTTTTGTCCAAGCTTTTGGATTTGAATGGTTTTTCTTCTTCACTAGAGCGATATTCTAATCTAAGCTAAACTGCGGTGAAGGTGGATTTGAACTTTAGTGCGTAGGGGAAGCATAGTCCAGCCAACTTGACTACGCCAAGATCTTCGCATTTGAATGGTTTTAAAGCTTCCCTCAATGAGAACATCAAACATTTCTTCGTGGTGTTCGGGTTATCTTCTATGGATCCTAGCACTTTTGGTTACTTTAATCTTGTTGGGAGCAATTTCAAGATCATCTCCCAATGTGTTTTCTAGATATGGAAACAAAAACCAACTATCAGTGGGAGTGCCATTGAAAGGGAATGCCAACCCCCCTATCTTTGCTTATTGGATATGTGGAACTAAAGGAGAAAGTGAGAGGATTTTGAGGCTTTTGAAGGCAATATATCATCCGAGAAATCGGTATTTGCTGCAGCTTGATTCATGTTCGTCGGATTATGATAGAGGGCAGCTAGCTCTCTCTGTTCAAGCCGAAGAAGTTTTTCGAAATTATGGAAATGTTTATGTTGTTGGGAAAAGTTTTGCCCTCATCCAGATGGGGTCTTCTGCTCTTGCTGCCACACTTCATGCTGCAGCATTGCATCTAAAGCTCAGTACAGATTGGGACTGGTTCATCACTTTAAGTGCTTCTGACTATCCCCTCATGAATCAGGATGGTAAGTGCTTTCACATCAAAAGCACTTATATTATCGGCAAAGTCACTTAATGCTGAACATCATTTAAATCAAGCTTGAAAGGTTTAAGGATTTAATTATCTGTTTTGGCTTATAAATTTGATCTTCGGCTTTCAGTACCCTCAGGGCGAGTTTGATAACCATTTCGTTCGTTTTCGATAAAATGCATGCACACTTGGGAACTTGATCACTTTAGTTTGGAAACCCATATTGGTTAATTGATCAACGTGATTCACTGACTAGGAATTTTTTCGAACTCTT